TTGACTTTTTTCATTTGATTATCTTCCTTTGTAAGGACTTCGTCCTTTATTTTAATATTTTAACTCCCCTTTACCGGAGGATGCTTTGTATCCATTTTGGTTAAAACTAGCTCAGTGGTTCTTGAGAAGAAGTCAAAAATGTGGAAAGTTTACAGACGGACAGGGACGGACGGTTTAACGTTGAATATTGACCCGAGTTGAAAATTGAACCGGAGGTCATTTTTCAACGTTGAATATTGAACCAGGGGTGTTTTTTCTCCGTTGAAAATTGAGACCAAAAATCGTTGAATTTATACTAGGGGTCAATTTTCAACAACATGATTTTTTTCTTATCCCTTATGACCTCAACAAATTGAAATTTGACCATGTTGAATATTGACCCCACCTCAGAGTCTGAACATTATTTTAACTTGGAGGTTGTTTTAAGGGATTTATCAGTATCTCTATACTTATATAACATTTTTGAAGAAGTTTTTCCATTATATCACAAATATAATATTTTTATCCATATGCCCTGAAAAACTGCCGAATCACGCCTGATACAGTTATGTTCCACCGGAAACAGTTATGTTGCCCTCCTGAACACAGTTATGTTCCCTCGCGTGCAATCATTCTGCATATTAATTACATCGGGTTTGAAATTCACAGAGACAGTTGCTAAGCAAACGTAAACAGTTCCGCAAAAGAATGACAACGTCTGCGATTTGTTTATTTGACTTCAGAGGAATTAGATAATTTAACTGAGGAGGAAAATTCTTTGAATACAACAAAGGTTATCAACACAAGTGTCAGCATACTGAAAACATTCTGCCATGAAACAGGACGGGATATTTCAGAATTATACTCAGCGTACATGCGTACAGCTGTGAGCATAGTGTTCAATAAATATGTTCGATGATCGATTTGGGTTCAATGCTTAAAAATGTTATATACCATATATTACATGGCTCAATTCTCGGGCAGCATTACCGGAATATTTGCCCCTCGATGACAGGAAAGCCCTGGAGTGTTATGACACCCTCTGCCTTCGGCATCGGGCGACATAACATTCCAGGGCTTTCCTGTCACCTCGGGGCAAATATTTTGGTATGCTGCCCTCGAAGCCATGTAATTTATGTATAATATTTCAGTTTTATTCTTTTTTCCTTTTCAAGAGTAATAGAAATAAACCTAAATGTCATCCCGTGTATATATTATGTATATTTTGATCAGTGCACGATTTCAGTTATCTTCAAGCATGGCAAGTTAATTTTTTGACAATACTTTCTAAAATCCATAGCATAACTATAAAATTATGAATAGGGAATAAAACAAAAATTCTGGAAATCTGGTGTGAAAATAAAGACATCAATCAGCCAAACTTGTCCATGAAATTTATAAAGACCCTACACTCTAAACGAAACTTCTAAACCAGGTATTCCTTTCTCTAGGAAATATAAATATTCATTAATATATCGTATAAATAGAATTTTTAGCGAGGATTTACTTTTGGCATTATTAGCGAGGGTTCTGACATCGCTGAAATTGAATATCGCTAAGAATTAATTACTTATTATGTGTAATAGCTTCTTTAGATAGCATTTTAAAATCGCTAAAATTACTTCGCGCTAATCTACCATATTTAGGGAGAAATTGCTAATTCTGCGTTTCTCTAAAATTTCCACTTATACGGTATATAGAAATATATTGATTGATTGTGTATTGTTTAAAGTCCCTCTCGAGAATTTTTCACTCATATGGAGACGTCACCGTATGCCGGTGAAGGGCTTCAAATTTAACCTATACTCAGCACTCAGGGTCATTGAGCCGTGAGGGTTCCTTAACAGTCACCACCTTTGTTTACGTCTTAGGTATGACGCGGCGCCGCGAATGAGAATCGAACCCGGGCCTCCCGATCCCATCACGAAGCGAACGCTATACCACTAGACTACCGTGACCGGTATATATATAATAAGGAGTGTTCGGCAGTTTTTGTAAGGGGTACTTGCCCTAAGTCATGCCTCATCAGTGGTCCAACTTAGCAGTGTATTCTTGTGGTAAACATGATCTAAAATTATATCAAAATCGCCTTTGCTTTTGTCTTTGCTTTAAGCTTTAATTGGTTCCTTTGCATCTTGTGTCTGTTTTCCTTTCTTTCCAGTATTTTAAGAGCTTTTTAGTCCGTTGACTCTCGGATTATATTTTGTAACAATAACCAATTTATTGTGGGGTCTCAATTGGCCGTTGCTTTTATTTAGGATCTCATTTCTGTCTGTTCCAATTATTCCTGTGATAATAGGATCTATTTCTATATCAGAGAAGCCTCTCTTTGACAAGTGTTTCTCACATGCCTTTTGCATTTACCTTTAACGAAACCTTTGAATACCGCTGGGTTGTGAGAACTTTCTCCGTGTATACATTGGAAATTGTTTGTTGGTTTTATGTAAGATTTGATATCAAGTTTGTTTGATTCTTGAAGATTTCTTCCTTTATACACGTTTGTGTCTAAAAAGTTAACAGAGATTTCAAAGGGGGATTTTAAGTACAGATGGCACTGATTGCCAAGTTAATATTAATGTTTTGATAACTAAATAAGCATTGAAACGTACGTTCATCATGCGTTAAATTTCCCAAATACTAATAACATTACGAATTTTAAGATTGAAATAAATGAAGTGTTCTTAGCAAAATGCAAATATAGATAACGAAATCTCTGAACTAAATTGTATATTGTGTATCTATGTATACTAATAGCTAGATTTACATATACCAATTATTTACATATACTAATGAATGTTTTTTTGTAAATAAACATTACACGAAATATTGCGATTTTAAACTACATGTAACTTTAAAATCTAAGATATTTTTTAATATTTCTTGGTGTCGGGAGCAAATTGAAAATGCGGGGGGGGGGGGGGGGTATTTGAAAAAACAAAAAAAAATCAAATTTTAAAAATTAGAGAAAAAAAAATTGCCCATTGTCAAAACTAGTAGTCCAAACAAACCCGAAAACCCTATTTTGGAGGTTGGGGGTGGGTGTGAACCAACGACAAGCAAAAAGTCTTTTCTAAGAGTTAGTTTTAAGTTTAACAGTAGTGAAATTATTAAAGAATACAATTGATGATCGTATACTGGTTAAGAACAAAAGAGATACTGATCGTAAAATGGCTCGTAATCGTATAGTGTACATCTATCCCTCCTAGAACGCTGCTCTGAAGAGCCCCGCTCCGTGATGTGCGGTCCAGATGGGAGCGAGAAGTGAGCGCTTAGTATAGTTAGACTGTCATTTTGTAATATACAATACATGATACTCATTTAAATGAAACAAACAAATCAGATTCAAGTAAACAAGTTATACAATAAATTTGGCCAAAATCCTAGAACTTCATAAAATAATTTATAATATAAACCTAAGCTTTAGTTCAGTGTCCTGGTATTGTGCAAAAGTTAATATTAATAATGATAAAATAAGTTTTTGCAATGTTCCGTTACTGTTCCTGTATTGATGTCCGAAGATAGATTTGATGAAATTGAAAATAGATTTGATCAATTTGATCAAAAAAGCTCACTTGAGCCTTCGGCTCAGATAATCTTAAAACGTAGAAGTACTCTAGATTAATGTAGGAAGAATGACGAGCAGATTTAAAGCCGCATATATCGAAAAAAAATATTGCATTTTCAAAAAGTTCAATACAGATGTATCTTATAAATTTACGATCTTACATACAGTGTTTTTAAATATTTTATTATAAAATTAATACTCCGATTGCACACGCAAGTATTTCAAAGTTTGTATTTAAAATATGCTTTGACTGTCTAATTTACAATAACTAAGCATTTTTTGAAAAGAACAAGGCTCACTTTTGCCTTATTTGGCCTTGTGAATTTCTGACAAAAAAACTGAAACTGCACAGTTTTAGTGAACAATGCAATAGATATAACTTAGATCTTTAGTAACTGCGTATCTATCAAAACGTAATTTTCTGGCCAGTCAAGGCATTTTGACGTCACAAAATGCGTCATTTTTCTCATATTCTGAAAAAGTCTACAAAAAACGGCTAATTTTAAAAGTATTTTTTTTTTTTAAATATGGATCGAAACCTCTGATCTCAAATATGCAACTAGTAAATGATAGAACTGTTTCTGAGGAAAGAAATGTTTTATTCTTTAGAACAGAGAGTGTGCTCATATCATTTTTCTTCATTGAATATACTAAATTATACTTATTTACCTTAAAATTCAAGATCATTGTATCATAAAAAAGCAAGTTCTGTAAGACCTGGACTTTTAGGAGAAAATTTTTAATAGGAATTAAAAGCACTAAAACTATTTTTATTTAAATGTTCTAAATGGAACATCAAGTGTTAATCAATCAATTGGTATATCTACAGGGCCATCTTATGCATAAAGTGAACTGAGCTCTTTAGTCTTGAAAGATTGAAGCATTTTAAATCATCACCGGATTATATGACAAGAAAGTTACATCTACATTATTTCAACTTAGTGAAACGCACATTACTAGAGGAAACAGCTTTAAACTAGTGAAACATAGATGCAACAGAGATGTTAGAAAAATAAAGCTTCATCAACAGAGTAGCCGAATTGTAGAATAGCTTGACAGACACCATAGTTCTAGCAAAAACTATGTACATCAATTTGAAAACAAACTGGACAAACATTTGGAAAACCACCCACTGAAATATGACTTTACCCAGGAAAATGGACTGTACAGCGGAATAAGACCAGTTTATTGAGCAAAATAAGAACTGCCTATAAAGTACCAAGGGAGATGCGGCAAATCAACATTAGGTAACACAAGGTAGAAAAGATGGATCTTGCCTTGACTTTCAATTCGATATTTAAATACATCAATCTGCTTTTATCAATTAACAGGATTAATTTTGATTGCTACTTTGATTTGATTTATTCCTTTTAAATCGAACCAACTTATTTGTCTTTTACCGTAAGCAATGCATTCGAGAACATTTCTTACTCCTTATATAGCAATGCACCACTTCAGATAACTTTGTTCATCTATCTCCTTAAGCTTTCCAGAAATTCATCTTCTTGTAAAATTTTTATTAAAATTGTGAAAAAAGAAATATTAAGTACTGTTAGGTTTCCTACCATTACAAGATGCATTAACACAGAAGTCCAAATGAGGCCTCTTCCAAGAGCAGTTAACTCCGTCCCCGAGGTCTAATTTCTCTATATTGACCTGGATAGTGTGATTTGTTGCTGTATGAACCGGAAGTGAACAGTTGAGAGATGGCGGATTTTCATTGACATTTCTACGGGCTTTTATTATCACTGCGTGTTTTATTTCCAGCGACTGATTTCCACAGTTTTCAAGCATGTATACAGTTTCTGAAAAATAAAAAAAAAACATACAAAATAATAGACATTAAAAGAATACATTAGAAAACAATAAAAACGATTTTCCTTAGATTTCAGACCTTTAGGGGGTATTGATTTCTATAATATAACAAGAAATATGATGTATTTTATCAATGGCAAGCTGAAAAGGCAAGAATTTAAAAGATATTTCATTAACAATCTGCAGCATTGCTGTTTCAAGTAGTGAAATAATGGATTATAAATAAATTTAAGATAAATTTTATATATACCATACAATATTTTTTGTGGCATTATAAAAATTATACCATGATTTCGGATAATCGCTGCTGGTTGAAGAATTAGCAACGTTTAATTTAATTTCCATACCTTGTCTATTTAGAGATCCATCCAGAACTTGACAACTGGCACCAGAAAACAGGAACAGGACAGTCAGGAAGTGTTTTCCGCCCATCTTGTTTGACCTCTGTTGTTTTTTTTTTATATTGCCGACTTTCATTTAATTTCTACGTTTTCGAAAGTTTTAAAGGTTATTGGGAAATAAAACGAGTCACATGTTTATGTCCAGTATCGATACATGTATCACATGCTTCTTTATCTGGTCAACGTGTGTATGTGCATTAAACATAAAAGGCACAAATATACTTGCCAAAACTTGAAAAGAAAAACACTTCAATATTTCCGAGAGATATGATATTGGATTATAATTTACTCCAAGCAGGGTAATAAATTGAACTGTGTGTCGGTAAAAAAAAAAAAGCTTGATACACAAATTCAGAAAATCTAAACAGATGAAAATTATGTCACTTTCTCCATGTTGAAGGAAAGATGCGGAGCGAGTAGACAAAACATATAAGGACATCTAATTGATGTTATTTATTTGGTACAAAGGGCAATATTATGTTGGCAGGAAATACTCGCTCCCTTTTGCAAAAGGGATGGATGCTTTTTTTCTGTGGGACCCATAGCGATCATAAAAACCTAAACAGGAGACACACCACTATGAAATACTTAAAGGGATATGATTTTAAAAAACGTTTTAATTTTTTTCATTAAAACGGTTATCGGTTATTGACCGAGGCGTAGTCTTGCTCAAAACTTTCATGTTTTGCCCATGTAAACAATGGTTTTGCGAGATAACAATTTAAAATGTTACCCTTAAAAAAGAACTATTTTTAAATTGTCGTCTACTATGCAGTAATTGTCTGTCACAGAGCATTTACAGATTTACAGTCTTTGGGTTTACCTGGAGCTAAAAGTTTTAACGAAAAAATACGAGAATATATTTAACTCATTGTTATTATCTGTTTCAATATTTTAACATCAATTTTGTCCAGAAAGTCATTCCCGCCTAAGAGACACAGCGCTCTGATTTTTCTATTTAAAAAAAATTAACCTGAAATTATAGTCTTCCTACAACTGTCATCTTTAATAAGTAATATCGCGAGTAGCCTGGTTCCCTGTCCTAGTTTTGCTTCATATACTCCGCGTCACTAGTGATTAGCTTTTATCAAAAATTGATTAAGCTGGTTCAGCGATTGTTTAGCAAGGTATTCCACCAGGATTTTTTTACTTATCTGTCCTTATAAATTTTACAATGATCGATCTTGCATTGTATACAATAGCACATTTGCCCCCATCCAACACACGTTTCCTACCTTCATCGCGACAGAGTTCCGCTAAGTTCAGTTATCGAGATATAAGTTTTTTCTAGATCTTCATAAAGCAAATTACACAGAGGAAAAAGCTCTTAGATTAAAATGCACGTCATTGAAATTAATACATTGTTTTCTATTAGACCAATCATTTCAAAATTCTATTGAAGTCATTTATCCCAGTGACTTTTACTGAGTTAATTTTTACGTCATTTTTATGCCCCCGTATTCGAAGATTCGGGGGTTTATAGTTTTTGTCGTGTCCGTCTTTCTGTCTGTTTGTCTGTTTTGGGGGTACCACCAAATTTGACTTTTGATCTTGACCTTGGAGTTTGACCCACTTTTACACAAAAGCTCCACCAAACTTTTACTTTGGCCATAACTTTTGAACGGTAAGGGTTATGGCTTTCTTACTTCACATATGTAATTCTTGTGAGAAGAACTTTCATACTATACGAAGAACCTTGACCTTAGAGTTTGACCTACTTTTTAAAAAAAAAACCCTTAACTATAGCTTTTGAAGGGTTAGAGCTAGGGCTTTCATACTTCATATGTTCAACTCTTGTGAGAAGACCTTTCATTTGATACTAAGAACTTTGACCCTTTGACCTTGACCTTGGAGTTTGACATACTTTTTAAAAACTTTAACCTTGGCCATAACTTTTGAAGGCTTAGAGCTATGGTTTTCATACTTCACATATGAAATCCTTGTGACAAGATCCTTCATTTGATATTAAGAACTTTGACCCTTTGACCTTGACCTTAGAGTTTGACATACTTTTTAAAAACGTTAACCTTGGCCATAACTTTTGAACTGTTAGAACTTATATATTCTTCACATAATTATATATTCTTTGTAACAAGACCTACCTTTGAACACCAACAACTTTGACCTTTTGACCTTGACTTTGAAGATTAACGTACTTTAAGGAAAACTTTAACCTTGGCCATAATTTTTAACGGTTAGTTTGTTATTTGTTTGTGAGTGAATTATTAATTAAATCGACACTTCCGTCAAAAAATTATAACAATCACAACTTCTGGTTCCCTGCCCTGTTATGCCTCGTATACTACGCGACACCGTAGGCAAGGATGGACTCAATGGACAAGGCTAGCGGAAAAACAAACGACCTCTGACGGAAAGGCCTGAGATGAATAACTGATACCTCTTCCGAGTTATTTTCCAAGAATCAAAAGGGCACTTTATTGCGTATATTAAGTTTTAAATGACAATGACAACGCCCCCTCCCCCAGATATGATGCTAAAATTATATATAGAGGTGCACGGTGGCTACATTAGTCGTCAACTTGACCCATAGGTTCTTCAAAGGTTGTTTATATAAGTAATTAAAATTAAATATAGTTGAAACTATTTCCGCTGTACATGTTTAAAATTTTTTAAATTTCATTTCTGGAATTTTTGAAGGGCACTCTCCTTAAATTAAGTGTTCACCAAAAAAGTTGGAAATGTAATCTTGAGTGATTTTTTTTTTCAAATCACATATTCATATTATAAATTTTATGAAAGCATAATTTCATCCTAACATAAATTATATGATTTTTAAAAACTTTCCGCGGGTTTCTAATTATAATACATGTACATACCAAAACAATGAGTCTTGTTCATGCATGCAGAAGTCAAGGTATGTTTTTCCCGAGAACAATTTCCCTCTTTACCAGGGGTGAACTTTTCTATAATTAGCAGAAAGTGGAGTTTCCTTTCCGTCTCTACAGTGAAGATACATTCGTCTTCGTGTATTTTTTGTTCACCTTTGGTGACTTCAATAAGAAGCGCAGTATATGTTGTGCTTTTTTTTTCCATACGACTTGAACATATAAACTATATTTCGGCGAGAAAATTCACTTTTAACTTAAGGTAGAACCTATGTCGAAAAAGTCTTTGTCACAAGATTTTCAAACTTTTCAAAATGATAAATTAGTAATTTCTTATCAATCAGTTAAAAGCTCATGATATGTTTCCTTGTTTTTAAATCTAGTACAGCCTGTGAAACTTGGTATGGTAATTACATACTGCGACTACACATTTTCAGTAATTTTTAGGGGTACTTTTCAAGAAGAGGAAATGAAAAAAAAACATCACAAAAATACTTCTTCAAACATCGTCGTTTATAGACTTTATTAACTGAACAATATTAAGCAATAATTCTCAAGAATAATTTCTTTTTTATTCAATTGACATAAAAGATAAGTCCACATTTAAAAAAAAAATAGGCAAATGAACTCTATATTTTTAGTCAATTTTCCACCCTATATTTGTAAATATTTTTCAGAAGTCTTTGTCACAGTGTTTTCAATCTTTAATATGATGAAGAACATACCCTAATGATTATAAAAAGTGATTGAAATATACACCTTTCGCCTATAACTAATGGGAGATAGGTTATTTACCGATGCTAATATTCTTGACCTTTTTGCACTTACACGGGATTTAATTATTAAATAAATGACTGTTTGGGCCTGGGGTTACATTCAGATTAAAAATGTTTATCAAAAATTGTACATTTTATTTCAAAAGATTATATTTAATAGAAAAATTGTAATCAAACACCAAGAATATGAATAAGTAACAAATAATTGTGAAAAGGAATGCACATCATTTCATGATAGATATCGTAAAAATGTACACACGATCTACAACACGTACATCTTTGACTTAGACACATTTCTTCAAGATATTACACTCTTTAGTTGGCAACGGAAGATTTCTTAGGATTTTTGCATTCCTTCGAAATGGTTACTAAATCAGAAGTTTATGTCTACATGTATAGTTTTTGCATTAGAATGACTGTGTATTTTACACTAGCCCATAGCTTTACAGAGCATATTTTTAGGTCTTATACTTACCCCACCCCCTTTCTTATTTAGGAGGAAGTCGAAATTGAACAAAAGCAAAAAAAACCCCACCCTACCTTTATTTTTCTATAAGAAGGAATTAAAAATAAGCTAAAAATAATCAGTCTACTATTCTACTAATTTTTAACTGTTACTTTGCCACAATACTTTCAAGTATACCTCCACCAACATTTAAAGTATGCTTTAATAATGGCGAAGTAAATTATGATATGATAGTACTTGTGTGAAGGCTTAACTTCATTTCAATATTTTATCTAGAGCCTCCTTCAGAATTATTGAAAGGTATAGAGTTTTATTTATATTTTTGCTTTTCATTAAGGTTTTCCGTTTTTTCCAACGGAAGACCTTCTACTGATTCTGTTGGTAAAGATTATTTTTCTTTTTTCTTCTGCTTCCTAGACCGCAACTTTGAGGCCTCATATCTCGCTCATTTATCAACGGATTTCGCTCAAATTTTCAGACGTTATAGACGTTAATAAATTCTATCAGAATAATGTCTAAAATTTCAAAAAGCCACTTCCGGTTTTGAGTTATTTCCCTTAAAGGAAAATTTATAGGCTTTCATTTCCAGATAAAGGACTTAGAGACGGCTAAAGCTGGAGCAGAAATTCTACTGATTTAAGATAATAGAAGGATTGAAGTTGTGCACATCGGTTTTTGTTGTTCGATTTCTGTATTCAAAATGGCGCTACATAGGGGTAAAAAATTCCGAACATTTAAAAGAACCAAAAATTACTCATTTTTTTCTTTTTATCTTCTAAACTAAAAATATTTTGTTAAAATATATAGAACATAATTTGTGCAGAATTAGAAGATCTTTCAAATGATATGTCGAAAAAGGGCCGACCCCTAAATTAAGGGACCTAGAGGTGTCGAAAAGTTTTTTCCAGATATCTCAAAAAGTATTGCGAACTTGTTATGCATCAAAGAAGCAAAGTTGTTTAAAATATCAAGCTTTATCTAATGTGGTCGTCAAAATACGTCCGGCGACGTCACTTCCCGGTCGAACGGAAGTAGTCAGAAAATTCATATTTTTGCTCTTTTTGACAGGTTTTTGGGTAACATGTGTCACTAGAAGCTTAAATATTAAATTTCCGTCCATCATTATCACTCCCAGTAGAACCGGAAGTACCAAAGAATGGCTTAATTTTGCTATACTTAACATAGATTTGGAGGATTAGCCCATTTTTGGACTTCATTACTCTTTTTTTAAATGAAAGTTACTTCCGGTCAAACAGGACGGAAGACCTACTCGTTGCCTTGCAACGAGCTGGCTCTAGTTTATTATTATCTTTTTTGTTTTGATTTAACGTAATGTTCTTTTTTTGGGGGGGGGGGGTAAAAATTTCCTTCTTCATGTCAAATAGGATTTGCAAACTAACAAACTAAAAGTTGAAATGACGGAAAATTTAATTTTTCCTATTAAAGAGTATTTAAACCTGATTTTTGCATGGTTTGATTTCTAAAAACAAGTGGAATATCATTCTTTAAGCAAACATTATAAGGAGGAATATTAAAAAGAAATTTTATTTACTTGACAATTAAAGAATCTCTTTTCAAACACAATTTTAGCATTGAAAGATCGTGAATCTCTTAATTATTTCATACGACTTTTTGTATTTTTCTGGTTACAGAAAATATAAAATTAGTTTCGCTGTAAAAAAGATATCAAAGAGTGTATATTTTGTATCACTTTAAAGGGGGTCATTTTTCAAAGGGGGTCATTATTTTATAGGACTAACATATAAAATAATGACCCTAGGAGCCCTTTTTCTACAAAAAATGATTTTTTTCTACGGGTGGGGGTCACTTTTTGTTGTTGAAAAATGACCCCCCGGTCACACACTTTCTCTCTTATAATGTATAGTGGGGTATTTTTTTGAGGAGCGATTATTTTGGGGTTTTGACGATTTGTTCCTATTGCAAACATGTTGAATAAGTGTACTAAATATAAATTGTGAAAAAATGAAAATAAGCCCGGGGTTGAATATCGGGGGGGGGGGGGGGTCCTGTCCACAAGTACCTGTGCCCGGTCATTATTCGATGGGGGTCATTATTCGTCTTTACACCTGTATGACGGGAACTTTTAGGTTATTTATACTTCAGGCTAATCAACCACTCACATGATTATCGTTAACAGAGTCTGTGTTGAAAGTTGATATTTTTGCACACTAGTTTGTGCGTTTCAGTAATACATCATCTCATTTATGAATTTTAATAAAATAGTATGCGTTTCTAGTTTTCCTCTTTTACATGTATCTTTGTCTAGTCCACTGTTCAGTAGCCTGTAACTATTGCCAAAGACTTGCCAAAGTTTTTGAGTCCTGGGCAACAGGAAAGATAACTCCAAAAAGGAACTTTGATACCAATGATTTTGAAAATATTTTTTTCTACAGTAGTGTATTTTATTTTAATTCAATTTTTCGGTGTAATCTAATTCATTGATGTTTCTTCTATACGAAATGAGTCTTCCTTGATTTTTCTCTAGATGTATTTGAGAAAAAATGTGTTTTATTTATTTTTTATAAATTAAATTAATTTCTCTAAAAAAATATGTTGATGCTAAAATTTACTTTTTATGGTTATTTTGTGAGCATAGAAATATACAATAGGGTAAGAATAAATTTTTGGTCCTACAAATGAAAATGCCTTGGGAAAAATATCTTGAAACTTGTGAAATTATTATTTTAAAAAAATCAGTATAGATTACATTTTAACTCCTGACCAGTTTTTATAGGTTGATATGCTTGTTAAAAGTACCGGTAATGCTCAATAATATGAGAACATAAGCTGTGTGTTTGTGGAGGACCCTTAACACTTGTATTCTTTTTGCTACCTTTCTTGAGATCTTTTAGGAAGTCCTCAATATTGGTCTGATTTTCACTTGTCCCTTTGCGTGGAAGGGAAGAACGTCTGAGTTTTCTTGCGTGTTTTGAGGCAAGCTTTTGGTATATTTTTCCGAGTTTGTTCTGCCCGGGCCATTTCTTGTGATCGGTATGTAATGTTGCCTCACTATCCAGTCCTGTACCCCACTGCATGTCGTAAGTACCCTCTGCAAAAATGGGGTTTCTTGTTGAGTTTTCAAGCTTGGCTTTTAACTGGGATCTGGTCAGCTTTTGAAGAAACGATTTCCCCCATCACCGTCTCTGATCTGATATCGTATGTCCTAGCCTTTTAGCTTCTAAAGCCGTATCAGCTTCTCTCACCTTCTTGGCCGCCTCTAGATCGGCCGCACGAATTGCTTTGGTCAGTTGGTAAGCGTCTCGCATATTTATGCTTTTCACCGAACACATTTATCTCACACGGATAGAAATTAAGAGAGGATTATACTTTCCTTGAAATACCACCACTTCACTGACATCTGACGTATCCACATAGTGCTGACACTCCGTGGATCCTGGAGAATGACCAGGATCCCTACAGACTCGACAGACTTTGCCCTTCTTACACTGCTGTTTCCTGTGTCCAGTTTCCCAGCAGTTGAAACACTGCATTTTGGGATCCATAGAAGTCTGGTTCTGATGGTATATTCGACATTTCAGTTTAGCACAGAAGACATTTCTCGGAAGAGATTTTCCATCGGGAAGAGGGTCAATGTAAAGAAATCTGTTTCCGTTCAAAACATTGGTCATACGGTGTGTTTCAGGGTGTCTAATGTTTTCATATTTTATTTCACTTCTGATATTTACATCAAATGTTTTGAGCATATCAAAGACAGCGCTGTCATCAACGGACAGGGGTAGCCCACATATGGTAACATTCAGAACTCTATCATCAGGACCAGTAGCTCCGGTGGAGTAGGGGTTCGAATAATACACCTGTACAGAGATGTTTCTAACCACAAACCCTTCTATAGCTAGCAATGATCTACATTCTTTTGTTTTTAGGTATACTCTCCATAGATTCCGCTCTAGTTGGGTACAGTGAACTTCATTTCCAACCTTCTGATATAGCGCCTCGTACATTTCAAAATCGCTGATTTTTTTTTGTTTGGTCCAACTAAATTTCTGAATTTTTGATATAAACAGGTTTGATTGTTGAGATCTGTACACTGGACTCCATTGTCAATGATTGTATTTACAATCCGCCACTGTTAATCACTAATCGACTATGAGTCCTTATTACGTGAACACAAATCAGCTGGTGCTTTAAATCCAGGTAAACAAAGAAATACACAGAATAATCCAAAATTCACATATTTACATCGATTTTTCTGGATACTCTTCACAAATATACAGAAAAATGTTTATAAATCCAAATAATCCATAAATTTATTTAGATTTGTCTTAGAACAGACAAATATTATCCAATTTTCCGGAGCAAGTAACAAAAACACGTCTTCTCACCTGCTCACCACGTGAATGATTATCTGACTTTTCTATTTCCTCAGTAAATAGCGCCATAGGCGAACCTGTCAATGCATCATCACCAAAATGTCATTATGATATACCAAAAGCTAAAGCAGAGCCAATGAAAATACTTACAATTAATTTGCAAAATTTAAAGACCAAACGTGAGGTATTTTGGAATCTTCTGGATTCATTCCAACCAGACATTGTTTTGGGATGTGAAAGTTGGTTAAAGCCAAATATCACAAACCAAGAAATTGTACCAGCCGGATATAAAGTCTACCGAAACGACAAAGCGGATGGATATGATGGGGTACTAATAGCTGTTAAGTCAAATTTCATAAGTAGTCAAGTGGTTTGACTTCAACAGTGAGCTTGTGGCTGTGCAAATTAAAGGGACAAACAAATCATCCATTGTGATTGCTTCATTATACCGAAAACCCAAAAAAAGAGATTACTCCCATACTCAAATAATCTGCAGTGACATCAGACGGATAACGATTTATACAAATCCTCAACAATCTGGATAGGTGGAGACGAAACTACCAGATACTAACTAAACGACACCATTACTACGCCAGTTTTGAAGGGCGCTAAATTCACATCTAAGATTAAAAAAATAAGCAATTATGAAGAAAAACGGAGAAAGTAAATATAAGTATTGATTTCATATTTCGGATGTCTTTGGTCTTATAACTCACCTGACCGTACCGACAAAATATTATTCCGCGCAAACGCGGGTTTTTAATTTCTCGGCACAACCAGATGTGTTATACATATATGACCAAAGAGATTAAAAAATATGAATTAATGCTTAAATATCCCGGCGTTAACCGTGTATAGGAATACGTATTTTCTCACAATTCAGAGCAAATACTTATTCCTAGGATAACCAGATGTGAGATGGTGTCATGGAGGAGTTAGAATACCTCCTTGTCATGATCCGTGAATAAAGTGCCCAAACACAATTCATGACCTAAAAATATAATCCCATGACCAAAGCATTTCCCTATTTGAAATTAAAAAAAAATTAGCAATATTTCCACACACCCGCGTTCATAAACGTAAGAAGTATCACATTTTTTTATTTTAAAAAGAGATTTTATATAACGAAATATATGGAGTTAACGAACAATATCAAAGGTCAACAATACAAAATAGGAGCAAACAAACACCAGACTTCGAAAACTCAGAGTTAGTATCAGATGCTAGGAGTGAACTTTGTATAAAAATGCATTAAAATCTTAAACATCTGTTTTTTATCTGGATACTAGTATTTACCTTTTAAAGACGTTAATGATATCTTACAATCAAGCTTTATGATAAATGTGATAACTTAAACTTTTCAGTTGTCAACTTTATTTTCTTATGATTTATTGAGATCGAGGTCAACATGCATTTTGTGAAAACCCGAACCAAACCCTTTTAAAAACCGTCACCTAAGACAATGTACCAAGAACATGTCAATAATACCGCATATTTGAGTTCATCTCATAATATGCTGTTATTAAGCTCTATATATCCTTTGATTATATGTCATCATTCACCTCCTTTTTGTGAAAAATTAAATAAATGAGATAAGCCGGAATTTATTTATCCATCCATTTCAGTGTCAGTACGTAGTTACTAGGTTTACGGGTTATTCCCCTTTTCTATGCATCAATGAAAGTGAAAGGTGGGTGATGAAAGTATCCGATTTATTTTTCTGTATTATGAAATAGAACTGTTGATTTTGTTGACTTCTTGTGGTTGATGTTGATATATGTGATGGTTTATGTTGATATATGTGATGTTGACTTTGAAAATTATATCTTATATAATGTAAATCGAAAGCAAAATAATATAATTAAAAGACAATTTGTGTTGAAATGTTGTTCGTAGCACGAATGAGGTCAAAGCGTGCTACTTTTCCCGTCAGGGAGGGCACAACTTTTTTGATGTTGGGGGTATGCCGTTTTGCCGGCTGCCCCACTGTTGTGTAGACCCTGTGGAAATACCGCCCAAATCGAATAAAACATTAAACTTAAATACTTAGCATTTGTTATAAAATAGGGCTTTTAATACCCATATTTGGGTTTATCTCAAATTGTTTTTTTAAAGCTCATAACCTTTGTTTATATGTCATATTCACCTCCTTTTTGTGAAAAATTTAAATGAGATAAGCCAAATTTTTTTTTTCCCATCCATGCAGTGTCAGACAGTTACATTTACGGGTTACCCCCCCCTTTTCTATGTCAATAAAAGTGAAAGGTGGGGTGAAATTGATTTTTCTGTTTTATAAATCCCCTCCCCCCTAACCCTTGACAGGTTTTAAGTATTACTTTTTCCCCTTTTTGTTTGTTTAATTTACGAACATGTTTTACATGGGAGGATAGCCCAAATTTAAATTTAAAATTATGGAAAGATTGAAACTTTTTCGCTTGGGGGTTTTTTTTTGTCTTTTCAGGTATTAAGAGATTTTTTGGGGGACTGACGGTGCTGATCGGGATTGCCCGCTATTTCCGTTTTCTAGGACCTTTGGAATGATCTCGACCTAATACCATGCATGACAGGCGTCAACTTGGGGATTTATCCATGATTTCAAGGAGTTCGGGAAAAGACAGTAGCTATACTTCACAGTGGTCGTATTGGCAAATCGTCACCTTAATTTAACCATTGAACTGTTGATTTTGTTGACTTTTTGTGGTTGATGTTGATATAAGTGATGATTGATGTTGATATATGTGATGTTGACTTTGAAAAAATTTTTATAAAGTAAATCTAAAGCAAAATAATATAATTAAAAGACAATTTGTGTTGAAATGTGTCCGTAGCACGAATGAGGTAAACCCCCCGGGGCACTTTTCCCCTCAGGGAGGGCACAACTTATGTTGATGTTGGGGGGTTATTTTTCCCGGGTGCCCCACTGTTGTGTAACCCCTTGGACAATACCTGCCAACTCGAATAAAACATTAAACTTAAATACTTAGCATTTGTTTATTATATATAGGTCTTTGATAAATGTTCTGTTATACAGTTCATTAGTATTTTTACATAATACACATATTTTGTCTCTCTGATGTAATCCCAGGTCCGTCACTGGTGTTTTGAGTTTTTGGATAAATAGCTGAAAAGTGAAAAAAAAAATGAGCGAGGGACAATTGACAACATAAAGTTGTTTTTTTTTTTCATTTTTTATATTAAGATAAAAATCCAAATTTATTTTCACTGAACTATAAAAAAGAAGAAAATAAGCTTTTTTTTTAAAAAAAAATCTAAAACTTCTATTACATACATTTTGAGTAAAATTGATCCCACAGAGAGAGAGAGAGAGAGAGAGAGAGAGAGAGAGAGAGAGAGAGGGGGGGAGAGAGAGAGAGAGAAGTTCTACTGCTAAATGTACTGCTTTGAAAGCTCAACGTAAATATGTTTTATTGCTATTGGATATGAAAGAAATTATTTACATGATATAATAAAAAGATATGCGCATTGCTTAGAAAACAACAACTTTTAAATGTAAAAAAAAGGACAATATATGAATTATATGTGCGTATATTTCTCTCCTTAGTCATAACGTGAAAAAGAAACAATCCATTCTAGCCCCGCTACTTCCTTATTTGTGTCTGTTCATCACGATAGCATGTTTAAAATCATACTTGCGTTTTCATTCTGTTTCCTAGGTATGTATTTTCATAAACTTTACCTTTTTTATCTCTTTTCTTTTGGTACTATCTAGCTCTGTGAATTTGATTCATTAATTAATTAGTCTTTTATTGTTTAAGTTTCCAAAATCTTCTGCTTATGGAATCCCTGTTCAGAGAATGAACAATCATATCTGTTTGAGGAGAAATGGGGCAATTGGAAGAAGGCTGCCGGGGAATGTGAAGAAGCAGGAGGAGCTCTAGCCACCGTCATCAGTGAAAACTGTACACTCAGTGAGTACAAATCCATTATCTACAAAAAACGTACAGATGAATCAGCATAATTATGTTTGTAGTGAAGAGTTAGAATTATTGTAAGAGATCTTTTTCCAGGGAATCTAAATGAAAATTTGACCTACTTCATTGGAGGTATGAATTCACCCTCTGGAAACTGGACATGGGTAGATGGTACTCAGATGAACCAGAAACATTGGGCTCCACGTAATTTCTTTTTTATAAATTTTCCATGGAAAATATCAATATCATTTGTTTTTTT